AGTACCCAAATGTACCTTAAAAGTACCATTGAGGTACCATTATGAAAAGGTACTGCCCCAGCTACAGCTCCTGTACATTATTTCTGAGAGTGTACAGTATATTCAAAATATCTAAATCTGAAGGCTGTGAAAGGATAGTACGGGTGTTCAACAAGATTGGAGGTTAACTAGGCAGATAATTGGGCCTCCAGGGATGAGTTTGTACACTCATCATAAATGATCAAGACAATTAGGCGGGTCATCTTTCAGGAGTTAATCAGGAGAGATGTGATTATGTACCTTCATCCCGTTTCAGAGTTTGCATCCTTTAAAAACCCTATTCGAAGATATATGAAGGGATTTGTTGCAAGTGGCTGATTTTGCAGAAAATGCCACATGTAAATACAAGTGTTATGTTTAACTTCACTCTGATATCCAAAAGATAAAAAGTACAAAGACTTTAAAAACTTTCAAATTTCATTAATTTAATTTCATAAATAGCTTCTTTTTTTTAAATTCTAAATAAAGGCTTTTATGGTCTCAACGAATATTCAGCCTCTGCATTGACATAAAGCAATGCAGACTGATAAGCAATCTTTGAATTAGACGGAGTGCACTAATTTATGATGAGTACTGCATCTGCTGAGTGCTGAGAGCATATCTAATCTCATAAGATTAACTGTAATTGACTGTTTTTTGTCCACTTGACTACATGACTAAATGGCATACCATGAATATCTGGAGAAAGAGGATATTGGAGGTTGAGAAACTGAGAAAACTGAGGGGAAGATAGAAAGAGAGAGAGAGAGAAAGAGAGAGAGAAGTGAGATCACATCTTTCGCTGAGAAATATAACAAAACTCGTCATGTCATAAGGAAAAACTAATATACAGTATTGGATGAGTCAGGAGTCATGAAAGAATGACAGAAAAAAATAAAGCGGAAGAATACTGGAACAAGAGGAAGTTGGTATCAAAAGTGTGTTTGTATCATGTTGTTTATGTTTTAACTTGCTATGCGTGGTTTTGCGCGTATTAAACACACTAAAAGTAAAAATATTAGCATAATGTTTGTCCTGTATGTTCTGAATAACCTGTCCATGCATGCATTGTCATTTGTATCATCGCAGATCTCATGACCGAGTGGAGTCTCAGTGTGGGTGTATGTGTGGGTTGAGAACTTCTACGGGTCACCGCTGCGTAACCAGAAATGACCGTCTCTACATCACTGCGTCGCTCCGCCTTGTTGCTTGGGATTACCAGGAAGAAGCATGACTTCCTCGAAACATACACATGCACTGAGAAATGTCCAAAGAAACCGAGAATAGCTTGCAGTACTATCTTTGTGCACAGTACTCAATTAAAAGTCTGCTACTCAAAATTAAAAATCAAAACACAATAATATGGAATAAATGAATATGGCTGATTCTACATACTCAAGCTCCTTTCTAACACTGTCCAGGACTGATTTTTTTACATTCATGCAAAGTGTTCATGTAGCTTTAGTGCTGCAAAACTCAAGCCTCCAGTCTCTGTTTACATAATGTTAACATATATTTTATTGCATTTTAATATATTGGTTACAAGCAGTGGTTATCTATAATTGTCTACAGTTGCAATCAGAATTATTAAACCCCCTAAATTATTAGCCCCCCTGTTTATTTTTTTCCCCAATTTCTGTTTGACGGAGAGAAAATTTTCACATTTCTAAACATAATAGTTTTAATAACTCATTTCTAATAACAGATTTATTTTATCTTTGCCATGATGACAGTGAATAATATTTGACTAGATATTTTTCTAGACACTTCTATACAGCTTAAAGTGACATTTAAAGGCTTAACCAGGTTAATTAGGTAACTAGGCAGGTTAGGGTAAATAGGTAAGTTTTTGTATAATGATGGTTTGTGCTGTAGACTATCGAAAATATATATATATATATATAGCTTAAAGGGGCTAATAATTTTGATCTTAATTTTTTTTTTTTTAAATAAAAACTGCTTTTATTCAAGCCCAAAAAAAGACTCTCCAGAAGAAATAATATTATCAGACATACTGGGAAAATGTTTTTGCTCTGTTAAACATCATTTGGGAAATAATTAAAAAGAAAAAAGTTCTAAGGGGGTTTAATAATTCTGATTTCAACTGTTTCAGCTACTACGCCCCCACTGCTAGAATCAGCTTCCAGAAATGATCAGATGTGCACCAACAATAGACACATTCAAATTGAGTCTGAAAACACATCTGTTTAGCTGTGCCTTTACTGAATGAGTACTGTGCTACCTCCGACAAATCACACTATTATGTTTTTTTCTTCTTTTTCATTCTTTTATAACCTGTTTTAACACTTTTTATTTGTTTTTATCTGTTTGTTTTTATCATTTTTATTATTAGTTTTTATTTCCTTATATTTGTCTCTTTTATTCTTGTTTTTGTGAGGCACTTTGAATTGCAACTGTGTATGCAATGTGCCATATAAATAAACTTGCCTTGCCTTGTATATGATAAAAGGAGGATAACTGGGTCAAAAAACATCCAAATGACTTTTATACAAATTTAAAGTATATTAAATGCACGAAAAATGTCTGTTTGCAACTTTAACAAAAATGTCAAAACATGGGTGAAATAATGTTTGATCATCAGTCATTTAAAAATGAAAACATTTTCCGACCTGTGCTTCATAAAATATATAAAGGTGATCATAATAAATTTCATTTATAAGGTTTTCCCAGTATTGGGTTCAAGTTCAAGTTAATTTATTTATAAAGCACACTTAAAAACAGTCACAAGGCTGACAAAAGTGCTGTACATAAGACAAGGTCAAATAAAAAGACAGAATATGAAAACATAAAAATAAGAAACTATAAAAATGTAGCAGTAAAAAGCACTATTAAAATATTGTAAAAAAGCCAAGCTAAAAAGGTAAGTTTTTAGGAGTGATTATAGAAATAGTGATGGAGCCATCCTAATCTCAAGGGGCAAGATGTTCCATAACCAAGGACCCGCCACAGAGAAAGCTCTGTCCCCTATACATTTTAGTCTAGACTGAGGAACTAAAAGATTTTGATCACTTGATCTAAGAGTTGCAGCTGGAAGGGCATCCGCTGCGTAAAACATATGCTGGACAAGCTGGATAAGTTCATTCTGCTGCAGCGACCGCTAGATTAATAAAGGGACTAAGCCGAAACGAAAATGAACGAATGATTAAAAAGTTCTTTTTAAACCCTGACTTGAAGGATAGTGGCAATGTAAAGATTTAAAATGACACAGTTATTTATATTTTGGTTCTTTGGGATCCTTAAATGAAGACTTTTTATATGCTGTCAAATTATTTTTGTTAGAAATATCACTGACAAGATTTTATTATATATTTTGTAAATTAATATTACAACAATTAATTGCTCAGTGTAAATCATGGCAAAAAAATCACAAAATATGACAGATATATAGAGAAGGAGATACAGAGAAAGGAAGTGTTGCTCAACGCAAACTGACTGAGGAAAAAAACATGAAGTAACACTGCGGTTTGCATCACTAATCACACATCTTTTTCTAAGTACACACTTGCTGTAGTATATAGGTTATCTTACATAACATCTGCGGTCTGAATGTGTGGCATCTTCTGTTAAATGATACTCATGTGATAAGCTCGACATGACACTTTTTTTATGTTCAGCCCTTTAAATCAACTCACTTGTGTTTCAATACAATGGATATTCCCTTAAAAGTGTAAGAGAAGAAGAAAAAATATTTTGTAGTATGTGGATATCCCAGAAACAGATTGAAAGAATGTAAATTCAATAAACGCTGGGAATGTACAAGAATAACCCAGAGGATTTTCTTCTAAAATACTGCTTTTTTATTATTCAGTGTATTTCAGTTATTTTCAGTTTATCAAAACAAAACCTGTAGCCTACAATAGGTTACATGCACCAAGACTAAATTGCTAATTTTGTTTGCCATGTTTACTGTGTTTACATGTTTTACAGAACTGTAAATAAAACAAAAAGTTATTAGACATTTTCTGATTTTCACATGCAGCAGGAACCGCAGAAAATCCTAAAGAGAAGTTTATTCTGCAGTCTTTATGATGTTAAGTGTATTTATAGTGCACTGTTGTCAATAAATACAAATTAGGCTAAACATTGATATTTCAGCTGTGGAGTGATATAATTTTATGCAAATGCATATAAAAAACTGGCAGTCGAAGGTCATATTTAAAAGTGAAGCCATACCTTTGTGTGTGTTTACAATACAGATGTTTACAATATACATAGCCTATTTTTTGGTCTCCTTATTGAAGGGTATTTTTATAAATCTATGCCCCAGCATGTCACAGGGTGAGCAGACATTTCGTATTCATGTAGAAAACTGTTGAGCAAGAAACTTAAGAGAAAGACTGAGACTGTGATGAAAGGAAACATGGGGGTCTTCCCCATATGGGACTGTCGTGAGAGTTTCCATCCAACAGTCGAAGAATTTTGAAACGTTTTGCGCAAAACTCGACTTAATTATACTCAAACACCTAAATGTCTTGTTGAGACAGCACTAGTGTAAGTTGTTTATAATAAATAGCAATAATCGTTAATATTAGGCTGTTGCTTTATAATTGCGCATTTTATGATACCATTGCATCAACATTTATTTTCTACTGTAATTTTTCCTTTAATTTTTCCATCGATGTTTTACATCATTTCCTTTAAAAATTAATAACTAGTTAAAGATTAACTAGAACTAGAATTGGCTACACCAGCAATATGTCAAAATTATGCTGTTTGATATTTTGAATATCTTCCACAATCTTTTTTTTTTTTTTTTTTTATCAGACTTTTATTATTTACCTGTTCATTCATGTAAAAAGCTGCCGTGACAGGATTTATAGCGATGTAGAAATAAAGGTGACTTTACCGAAAAGTCGTTGAAAGCCAGAAATGCAAATCTGGTATTCCCTAATAAAACGAAAAGCGAAACCGAAACTGCTGTCACAATATAAAGTTATCACCTCCGTTGCATCAACATCTCAATTCACTGGCGGCGACTGAACAATCAAGTGCTGCTATTCAAATATTCAGAAAGAGGTAAGCACCATTTGACTTTCTTATTAGCCAAACAAAACTAGTATTACCTGAAGAGTATTATACGCAAGAAAGACATTTTAATGTAATTATTTATTATGTAGTCTAATTGTTTTGTAGGCCTATTTATCATGTTTAAATGCAATTGATATGGATCATTATTACGCGTGATTAAAGGTAATAGGCATATTAACTTTTCATGCGTTATTTAATGGAAAATTATACATCATATCTGATGTTCTCTCACGGGTCACAAAGTGCCTCTTGGCATAATATTGCATTAGTTATAGCCTGCCCAGACAGTGACATGAAATATGAGAGGCTAAAATCTCGAGAGAGAGAAAAAAAAGTCAATGTACAATTATACAAAATTGTATTAGTCAGGGAACTTCTATTTTAAATGATCTTACATTTTCTCTCTCTATCCTCCAGATGTTCGAGTGTTGTCAGACTCCACTTCGCATCCTTCTCCTCATCTTCATCTTCATGTGTATGATGTCTATCAACCTGTGTCTCCCTGTCGGCCGCAGAGGACCTCTGTCCTTCTCCAGTTCACTGCGCCTCACGCGCACCATTCGCACACATGTCCAGCAATTACTGTTTCTATATGTAAGCATATGCAATACAAAGTAATTTGCGTATAAAACAATTCAATATCTACGAGTTGTATATATACATTTTAATATAAATAATTTTGTCGACAGAAACAGGAGATGTTTGGCAACGAGCTCTTTGAATACAGAGAACAGATGCTGAGTTCACTTCCTGCGGTCACTGTCAGTTATCGGACCTGGCTCCACATGCAGGTGTGCACGCTTTTCTCGGTCTATTATTTAATTAGTCATCCTATAGTACAGGACGGTATGTTTTAACAGGGTGAGTTTTATTCAGGACGATGAGCGTTTGCGTGTGGCTTCTGAATACCTGCAAATCTTCTGGACTCATCTGGATGGGCAGCGACGGCAGCTGGAGAGAGACGGGCTAAGGAAACCTCAAAGAAGAGACAAACGAGGAAGACCTCAGCCAACACTTTGCAGGAGTTTTGAGGTCCTGCAAATAGACCTGCGGGATCTGATGAGACAAGTTAACAACCAGGTAGGCTACGAGTTCACACGGTTGCCATGTAGGATGCGGTCCTTCATTAAGGGTTGGTTCACTCAAAACCTTCATGCGTTTCTTTCTTCTGCGCTATAAAAAATAAGCTACTTTAAGTTTTTTTCCGGCAGCCGGGGTACTTAATAAATAATAATAAACAATAAGTAATAAAAAATTACTTAAATTTCCGATAAATTTCTGTCATTTACTGTCTGTTATTTTACGGCAAATGTCTGTAATTTAATGGCCGTTATTTTACGATTTTTTTCTTGAACCCAGCTGTTGACAAAAAACTACAATAACAGATTTTTTTACAGTGTGCTGAACACAATTATACATCTGAAAACAGTTTACTTCTATAGAAGAAATACAAATACTATGGAAGTCAATTCAGGTTTCCACTTTTCTTCGAATGTCTTCTTTTGTGTTTAACAGAAGAAAGAAACTCATAAAAGTTTGAAACAAGTTAAGAAAATGATGACAGAATGCTCTCTTTTTTGGGGTGATCTATATTCAGCTGTCAGTCAGCAGTATAGAGGCTAATCCACTTGGTGTGTCATAGACACAACTCAGATGACCAGCGCTCTCCTGCCCCAGTCTGAGTTGCAACACTAAGGGGCTCTTACTAGGATGTCTACAAAAAATCCCAGGGGGATTTTTAGGGTATATAGAAAATATCTTTGTGATTTAATATATTTAAGTCTAAGGATAGTACCATTAAGGACGTAAGCATCTATCCTAGTGTTTTTGATTATATAATTTGTCTAGTCTGTCTTGTGGTCAACTGGTAGATTATACGAAGACAACTTCTTTATTCCAGGTTACTGTGATCTTAACAGTAAGTTTACGTGATATTTCAATGATTGTGTAACATTCTAAAGTCAGGGTTAGAACCACAGTCTGTGTGTGGTTGTGGAATAAATGAAAAACATTTTGGTAAGACTTTGTTTTGATGAAGTATTGTTGCAATTAGATTTAGATAGCAGCTGTTAGAGCATTAATAGATTGTCTTCTTATCTGCTAAGACCTTTTCTACAGACTTTGAGAACATTTTTCCATGTATGGCAACTAATAATGTATAAAAACAATACTTGTACACATGAAGCTGCAAAGTTATTAATCACCACAGTGTCTAAAGGGGAGCATCAAAATAACGTGCAAACAAGGTTCTATAAAATAAAATCTTGAAATAAACATTTCATCTTCATTTCTAAATATATCCTGTTAGTATTTAGAAGGTAATGATATTTGCAACAGTCACTGATATCATTATAATAAATGTGCTATTTGAGATGAAACATTAGGCTGATTGATTATTTAAACTTATGCTTCTCTCTTTTCACCTGCAGCTGAACGTTATCCGACACGTATCTTCATCCACAAAATCTCCACTTCTGGATTCCACCACTGCATCTCCCAGCATGCATCATTCTTCTGAAAGCACCACAATATCTCAGACCCCAACTCAAACTGGTAATCCTGGAATCTCCGCACACTCCTACACACAGTCACCTCAGACCTTGAGCCTGTCTGAAAGAGGTTTGACTTCAGTGAAGGAGGAAACCTCTGTCAGCCTCCTGCAACCCACCAGAGCACCGACACTCTCTCATTCCACCCAGCAGACGACAACAGCAGGGATGTCCCGCTGGGTTCTGCATCTGAATGGGTATGTAATACTGAGAGATCTCGAACGGTACTTAAGCCGACTGGCAAGAGATTACACCGTGCTTCAAACTAAATACTGAAAAAATACACAACAGAAAAATTGTTGGGAAAAAATATGAACCAAGTATTGAACAAGCACGAGGGTTGAATCACAAGAGAAAACGTGTAATTGAATACACTAATATACATTTCCATAAACAACATCATGCAGCTGTTTACCTTTCTCATGAACTACATTAATGAGAATAATGTATTACTATTTGTTTACAAATTGTTGAACATCTTCTTCTTGAAGCTAGATATGTTTACCATTACTGCCTAAGCAGTGTTCTTTAACCAAAAAGTATTTTTAGATTGTGTTCATTTCGTTAACTCAGGTGTCTGAATCTACACTGGATTTAAATGACTCTGATTGAAAAGTACAAACTTTAAACCAGCAGTTTGTTTGGTTTATATTAGAGAATTTAACTGGACCAAAAAAAAGACTAGTCAGCTATTCTGGAAAACCAAAATTTCCCAAACACCCCACTTCCCTCCTTCATGACTATCAGCAACTCAGAGATCAGAGCGAGATTAAAGTTACATCTCCTTTGTCATTCCCTGTACTTTCCAACTTGTCTTATTTATTATATTATTTATTTTATTTATGTGAATGTTTTTCATACAGTATTTATTGTTCATAAATTAAAAAAAGATTTTTTTTGTAAGTTTTGTACATCCATGTGAACTGAATAAAATGACAAATGAAATTATTTCTGGTGCATTTGTATTTGTGTGGAGTTTTGTTTTTTTCTACTCAACAGTTGGTAAACAGAGTCATACTGAAACTAAATCCAGACAAATTATGACTGATACAAAACGGTGTGCCAGTGTTTTGGTATTTGTCTGAAGTGTTAGACAAAACAATACTGCAGACCAAAAATATTCATTAACCATTGCTTTTTTCATTTTATTCAACAATAAATGAGTTTAAAAAGTCTGTGTTGATAGGTAGTGGTGTTATCTGTAAAAAACAACATCTGTTACTGTTGTTTAAAATGTAAAAGATTATCTAGTCTAAAATTTCACAAATACTCTGTAGTATAACTGCTTAGTAAAGCTTGAATCACAAACAACTAAAATAGCAAAGAATAATTTGTTTGTTCAGATGAGAGAAATTATAAATTGAACCCATCAAACAAAACCTTCATTAAAATGTCTGAATTTGGTATTCAAAAAAGTGATTAAAATGTCTGTTCATATACAATTGCTAATATGTGCTTTGGAGTGAGAATGAAATAAATCATAAAAAGTGTAGTCTGGCTCTGTGTAGTGATTGGCTAAAGCACTCCTTTAAAATGATCCTTCCGCTGCCGGTGAGCTGTCATTGATTCATGAGATCCGTGGCGTGGTCTGGAAAAGAGGGCATTCATGTTTACAGACAAACGATGTATGAAATTAATCAACAGCTTTGAACTCTCATGGTAAAAACCCTCAAAAATATTTTAGTATAACTAAAACCCTTTAATTGGTCAGCTTTGTTTTTCCGTATTAGTAAGTGTGTGTGAGACTAACCACAGACAGGTGCCCATTCTTAGACTTGACCACTCGGAGGTCTGAACCACTTGTGAAATCGATCACTCCCTCCTTTCCCCTTGCTATCGCAAACCTGATACTGGAGAGTAAAACATACTCAGACAATGTGTAAACATGCTTATAGTGGGGAAAAATAAGTATTGAACACGTCATGTTTTTTTTCTGGGAATAATATTTTTAAAGGAGCTGTTGACATGCAATTGAACCAGATTTCGGTAAAAACCCAATCAATACAAACATAATTAAACAATTAGTAAACTTGGCCAAAATTAAAATATAACAGTAAGTCCCACAGTTAATTAAAATGATAAGCAAGCATGGCAGAAAGGATCGGACGAACCGCAGACACATTAAGATGATTTTTGTAATATGATCTAATGATTTATTACATTTAACCAATAGGTGGCGCTTTCATAAAACTGATGTGTTGTCTGTGTAAAGCAGGGGTGTCCAAACTCTGTCCTGAAGAGCCAGTCTCCAGCAGAATTTAACTCCAACTTGCCTTAACACACCAGCTTGGATGTTTCTAGAAAGCCTAGAAGGACCTTGATTAGCTAGTCTAGGTGTGACTGATTGGGGTTGGAAGCAAACTTTTGGACACTGGCCCTCCAGGACCGAGTTTGGGCATCCCTGGTGTAAAGTGACAATAACAAAGTTGAAGCTTTTCAGATTCAAAGCCCCAGATGGAGTCACATCAACATTTGAAGGTTCTTTGTCAAATGTATTGATACATTAATAAAGAACTGTTTGACTGATCAATTAATCAATCAATCAATTAATTGGATTTTTGTCAGTGTCATCTAAATATGACATGAAAAAGAGTTCAGGAGTCTATTTACAATAGCAAATACTATTAAAACAATCATTTCAAGACAGGGATTCAGAAAGTAAGAATAGAAAAAAAGTACTAGTTTCATGCAAGAAGAAAAACTTGAGAATTACAGCAAGTGCCAAAACATCTGTACTTGGCCCCTTGATAAGAAAATGTAAACAACTGTCACAAAGTTTGCAGACTGTACAATGCATTTTGTCATTTATGTTTATGTTAAGAATTCATTTAATTGATCCAAATTACAGTATTTTATTTATGCAATAGTTGTGTAGAAATGTGTGGTATTACTGTAATAATTATGGAGTCAGTCTAGGGCCATATATATATATATATACACCTTTAAAATAAAAGTTTTGCAAACAAAAAAAAATAAAGTATTGAGAAAAAACAGATAAATAAATAAAAAACTTTTAAAATGCTAAGCAAAAATTTATTTTGGAGAAATAAAAAAGAATTTCAAATTAGTTTTAAAAAGTTGGAAAAAAAAACTGCAAATAAAAATCAAGCAGACCAAAAATATTTGCAATATAAAAAAAACTATATATATTTGCAAATGATTTTTATAGCATTGCCTTTAAAAACAATCTGTCCAGTCAATTGCAATGCTCAATTTGATTTGCTTTTCAGGGTCTCAAAGGGAAACGTGCAGAAACGTGAAGTGCAAAGTGAAAACAGCATCGCAAACTTATGGTTAAATATATGTAAATATTTTTTTCTCTTTTTTTTTGCATTTTTTTTATTTTGATTTGCAGTTCTTTTTTTGTTTGCCAATGTCATTCTTATTTCTCAAAACTTAATTTTTCCTTTGCAGTTCTTTATTTTTGTTAGCAACATTTTTGTTTCTCAAAAATAAATTTTTGCTTAGCGATTTTTGAAGATTTACATTTATTTATTTTTGCTCAATAATTTATTTTTTACTTGCAAAACTTTCTTTTATTTTGCAAGTACAGTATATGTGGCCTTAGATTGACTCCATGAAAATTAATCATATCAAAGAATTACCTGAGGACATTATGGGTGACTGCCTAAAATTCAACGGCACCACTGCCAAAACCATTTGCCCGTGTGCGCACACACATACTGTACACAGTACACACCTGTCCTGGCTGATGTTGACATTGTGTATTTTGTCTGCCATGATAGCCAGCTTGGTGACAGCCTCAATCACATGATCACACTGCAGCACCAGGTCACCCTAACAGTCAAAAGACATATAGTGAAACCTCAGAGCTCCAACTGAACAATAAGGTCAATAAGAAAGAACAAAAAACTCTCACCTTCTGCTTACTGTCAGCAGTGGGAATATGCAGAACAAAAAATCCATCACTGAGAGAACTAACAGAGATACCTACAAGAAATAAACAAACCAACAATGAATACAAGACACTAATGAGAATTTATGAGCGGAGTACTAGTAAAGAGCATGATTAGCCAAGAGTTAGATATGGTGAAAAACGAGACTATGCAACTTTAATAGGCTTAGTTGTGGTACAGTATTGTTAGCCAACAATAGAGAGAGCTGTATTACAGTAACATTACCCAGCAATGCACCGTAGTCGATACGTTGTTTGATTTTTGCTTCCTGGACCAGCACAGCAGATGAAGTGGTCAACAGCAGCTGCCGCACACGTGGGCGAAAACCATGTCGATCGTACTTGGTGACCGCTATCCCATACTGAAAAAGATGAGGAGAATAAACAACACAAGATAATCAGTAGATTACCTTTTTGTAATTGAATTATATTGACTAGAATAGTTCCTGTTGATTAATACTGACTTTTTCCATCATACGCTGGTTCATTTTTTTTGTTTCTATTTTGAAATGTTTGTTTTTTGGGGTATGTGTGTGCACTCTTCTTGTGATCAGCCACAACCTTTAGATTTTATGATTTAAATTGCTTCAAAAAGTTTCAACTCAACCCTATTTATCACAGACTTTAATGAAAACTACAGTGTGACCCATCATTAAACTAAGTAATATATCGATTCCCAATTGGCATTTAAAATGACTAAGGTTTTGTTTTGTTGGGCAAAGATTATATGAATCCAAAATAAAAGTTTGTTTTGAAATAATAAATGTATTATATATATATATATATATATATATATATATATATATATATATATATATATATATATATATATATATATATATATATATATATATATATATATATATATATATATATCTCTGTTTATTTATTTATTATGTGATACACACATACATAGAAAAAAATTATCTAATTAACCTTCGAAATTAATTATTCATTCCTTCATTTTCCTTCAGCTTAGTCCTTTCACTCATTAGGGATCATCACAGCCGAATGAACCGACAATTTATTCAGCAAATGTTTTAGGCAGCGGATGCCCTTCCAGTCACAAACCAGCACTAGGAAACATCTATACATTCTCACACACTCATTCACTATGGCCAATTTTAGTTTATCAGATAAGCACGCTACATAGAAATGCAAACTGACCCAGCCGGGACTTGAACCAGCGACCTTCTTGCTGTGAGGTGACAGTGCTAACCACTGAGCCACCGAGTCACCCGTTTTAAATAAATTAATTAAAATATATATTATACCATAATTTAAATAAACATTTTCTCGATGTATGCATGCATGTGTATATTTATTTATACATAATAAATGTACACGCACACACACATATATTATGTCTTTACATATATAACTTTTTATTTTGGATGTGATAATTCATGATTTATTTTTGCACCAGCAATATATTTTATATACATATTTTCCTTTTTTCCCATAAAAAAAGCCCAAA